AAAAAAAAAAAAAAAAAAAAAAAAAAAGAGAAAACAAAATAAAGTGAGAAATGGAACGGAGCCAAGACACGACACGTAGAAGAGAAAAAGAGAAAGAGCGAGAAGGGGGAGTGAGATGGGGCATAGGAGAGAAAAGGTTCATGAATTTGTGGCACCGTTTTGTCGCACTGTTCTCGCATTTTTAGAAGTCCTTCCTTCTTACAAGGACGAGAAGTACATACCCATCTACAAATGTGCACTCACAAATACGTGTATCATATCTGTGTATATATATATGTGTGTGTGTGTGTGTGTGTAGATTTGTGTTATAACAAGTCAGGTTTATCATACGTTCCTTTTTCTTCTCGTGCTTGTAAATATGAAAATTTGTTTTTGAAATTTGTAAAAAATTCCAATATATATTCATTCGTTATGGAAAAACAACAAATTTAAGGGATACAAAGTGACGTGTATGATTCGTTAATTTGATTTAACGCGTTTGTCAAACTCAAAAATAACAATTCACGCGTCGTTCTCTCGATTTAATTAATAGATAAATAAAATAAAAATAACAAATGTTGGAATTCATTCGGAAAATTGATACACTCGACACACGTTTGTTTGTTTGTTTTTTTTTTTTTTTTTACTTTCTTTTTTTATTTCTTTTTTGTCAATTTAATAAGAGAGACATGTGAGGAACAGAATGATAACCAAATTGGCGTGGGCCATGCGTGAACAGTCACATTAATATTCATGGTAAATAAATTAATCGTAACTTTGAAGAGATAAAGTGATAAAGAGAGAAGTATGTTTGAAAAAGAAAAATTTAAACGATGTACGTAAATATGCAATAATAATAATAATAATAATTTAACAAAACATTGTTAAAACAAACGATACACCCATCATACGCAAAATATGAAATTTTATTTAATATATATATATATATATATTTTTTTTTTCTTCTATTTTTCATTTTTTTTTTGAAACTCTATAATCAAAGTATTACGTTGAAAAATATCTTCTCTCTATGGAAGAAAAAAATTTGATTTACCTCTAAATAGGATGAAGTCAACCCAAAGTATACATATATATATATATATATTCTCTTTTCTACATTATACGTTAGAGGGAGAAATGTGAAGGAAAAAAAATACAAGGGGGGGTGAGGAAAAATAATTCTTTTTTAAATAACACGAGAGAACCCAAGAAGAGCTCAATACTGTTACCCCCCTTTTTTTTCGTAACGCAAAAAAATAAACAAAAAAAGAAAAAGAAAATAAAAGGAAAAAAAGAAAGAAAGAAAGAAAGAAAAATAAAATAAAAAAATACAAAAAAAAAATAGAAGGTACAGTGATGGTAGTAAAGCAACAACCCTCTCTCTCTCTCTCTCTCTTCTAGTACACCGTACATGGGTACACCGTTGATAAAAAGAAAGTTCATGAATAGTAAGCACCCACTGCTGCACATCTCCTCCTCGACGAACATTCTCTCTGTCTCTTTCTCTCTCTCTCTCTTTCTCTCTCTTTGGATCGTCCCTACCTCCCTCCCTCCCTCCCTCCTGTCGTCTCACCTACGCTCTCTCTCTCTCTCTCGCATACTTCTGCACTTTGCAAAAACACCCGAAAGAGAGATAACGCTACTTTTTTGAATCGGCTTCTATTATTAAATGTAGGTCGTGTTGCGTCATCGCGCGATGTCCGTTGCCGGAAAAGTGGATGAAAAAAAAAAAAAAGGATAGACGAAGAAAAAAAAACGAACCAACAAACAAACAAACAAAAAAAAGATATAAAAAAAAAAAAAAAATAAATAAATAAAACGTGTAGAAAAGGACGGAAAAATGCATCCAGTTGCATTCTCTCTCGCTTTCTCTCGCTCTCTTTCTCTAGTGAGTTTTCTCTATTTCGTTCTTTATTTAAAAACGTTGCGTTTAAATTCACCGAAGTGATTTTCAACGTGATACCAAAAAACGTGCTAGACAAAAATAACTATTGGATTCGTCCTATTAGATAATTAGAAAAAGGGTCGAGCAATTTTTGATCTTTTTGACAAATCATTCGATTACTTACGAATTTTTTACGATTACATTTACGACTCTTACGCGATCTCAATTTTTTCCTTGTTTTTTTTTTTTTTCATTTTATATTCTAATTTTTTCTCTTTCCCCCAATTAAAAATTTCATTATCAAAAGAAAAATATATCCTTTTTTTTTTTTTTATCTGTGGAAAAAATATCCTACGTAACTTGAATACTAACACGCCAATTAGAAATTAATCCTGACACCTTTTTTCCCCCCTTCTTTCTCCCCTCCCCCTCACTTATCTAACTTTCTTCTATCAAATATCTACATTATGATTTGTTCGATTTAAAAATGAGAAAGGTTTTCTTTTTTTTTTTTTACTTTCTTCGATTTTCTTCATCATGAAACTACTCCGACTAACAATTATTTACTTTGTTTTATTATTTTTTCTTTTTGTATAAACGAAGGCACCCCTTTCGGACAGATTTTAATTGGGTCAAAAAAAAAAAAAGAAAAAGAAAGAACAAAAATTTCAACTAACGATCCGCGAGAAAGTATGAAAAGTACGGATAATAGAAATGAAACAAACCAATGTCATGGTATTTCAACATAAATTTCGTCATCGTTTGCTTATACATATATATATATATATATATTCTATCTATCTTATTTGAAAGAGAAAGAGAGAGAGAGAGAGAGAGAATGAAATTAAGAAAAATTACTAAATTAAGAAAAGTGTTATGCAAACGTTTGTACGGTCTTAATGCGTTAATTAAATCGATTGGAATATCTATTAATCGTTTCTATCGATAGATAACGACGATTTTACTATCGTACGTAAACGTGTACGATATATTGTAATTGGATTTGTCCCGACGTACGTAATGGTTCCTACCATCCTTAAATCTTGCACAGTTCGTGCCAAATTACCTTGATGTCACATACGGTGATAGTATATTATATCACAAAGAGAAGGAGAAGTGGGCTCTCAAATTTGTTCAATATCAATTCTAACGTGTGAAATAAAAATATATCATCATTAGCATTAGTTTGAAATCGTCTAAGTGAAATTAAAAATCGAAATCAAATCAAATCAAATCAAATCGAATCGAATCGAATCGAGTGTATAATGTTACTGTTTTGTGTCAAGGAAATAAAACTTTCTCGTGTCGTAATGGAAAATTTTCAAGAATTTCTTATAACCACCGACAAAAGTCATAAAGATTAAATACACGACGAATTGAGAAATCAACGAAAAGAAAAAACAAAATATAAATTTCTTTTTCTTTTCTCACTTTCAAAAAAAGTCATTACTATTATTATTATTATTATTATTATAGTTCACGAAATTAATTATCTATGAGTCATTCTTCCTTTTTAAAAGATTTCGCGAGAAAAAGAAAAAAACAAATAAAAGTGATCATTAAAAAATGAGTTGGCACAGGGTTAATCATAAATTTCAATTCGTTTAAAATGCCAACGAACAAAATCTCTAAATGATATGAGGAACCACCACTGTTGACACAACCCATAGTCGCGTGACAATGATTTTGATTTCACATTTTTTACCATCTCTTTTCTTTTCTCTTTATATCATTATCTCGTCAAACAGCTCAGAGTCACATGAGTTAACGTTGAATCACATGACGAATCCATTTAATAATAATTATGTAGATGCTTGTTTGCACGCGCTGACAACTTGCCGGGATCGTGAACGGGTCAATCGTTACGATTAATTCTCCCTCTCTCTCTCTCTCTCTCTCTCTCTTACATGAGTCTCATATGTATGTATATATGTGAACAAGCTTCTACGATTAATACATATATATATCAACATTGGGTCTGATAAACGATGCAGAAACAGATAAGAAAATGATAGAAAAAGAAAGAAAGAGAGAGAGAGAGAGAGAGAACTAGGAATAAAAGAAGGGGAAAGAAAAAAGGTGGGGGGATGGTTGTAGAGGGCATTGGATGGATACAATTTTGTTCCAGATGGTAACCGCACACGCTCCCACCCCCTTTTTACGACCAATCGGCCTTATCCACATTCCTCCTACTTTGGCACACACTCTTCTCTTCCTCCCCTCCCTCCCCTCCCTTCCCCCCCTCTTACACACCTCCACCACTTTTTTACATTCTTTTTGTTTTCTTTCTGTTTATTTTATTTTTTTTTTTTTTATTTTCTCGTCTCCCTACCCTTTCCACACCGTTAATAATCATACTCTATCGCGCTTCGTCTAGGTCGTTAGCATAATAACATGAAGTGTGTGTGCTTTACCTCAATAGAATAGTAGGTAGGTAGTAGTCAGTACGTATCGTAGTTCTGATCGTATCGCATCGATCAAATCGAGTCACGCAAATCATTTCGGCAAATTGCATAAACCACAATACTCGATACCCTCCTACGCGTAACATAAACACATATATATATGTGCATGCAAATTAATATAAACGCAGTAAAGTAGATCTTCATTACGAAACATTAGCACATTTTTGTCAAAGATATATGATATCTAATAGAAAACTGATAGAAATTTGGTATACGGTTTCTTTTCTAGAAACAAGAAGTTGAAGAAGAAAAAGAAGAAGAAGAAGAAGAAGAAGAAGAAGAAGAAAAAGGACAAAAAGAAAAGAAGAAAATAGGGACAAAGTAACGTGACTTCTTTCGTACACGGGCAATCTGACGAGTAGTCTTCAAAGAGACTCACACACAGACTTTACACTAAGCTGACTCTTCTGAGCTACTACTACTACTACTACTACTATTACTTTCTTACTCGAGGACTAGATCTTCAAAACTTCAAGTACTATTCTCGATCCGGATAGTTAAAAATCATCTAGCAACCTACTCTAGCAAGCTGGTTGGTTGGGTGGATTGTATTCCTGAATCAAAAGTAAAACTCTGACGTTTCAAGATGACCATAGAAGCTTCTTCGATGATAGTAGATTATCTTGTCTTTATTGCATTCATCGTGATATCCTTTGTACTACCATTGTGGGGAAAATTTCGACGAAAAACCAAAGAGACAAAGGCTGAATATGTCTTCGCAACTGGACACGTGTCCATGGGGGCTATGATGTTATCCATTGCCAGAGGAACATTAGGTGTCAGAAGTTTCTTAGGTTATCCTTCTGAATTATATTACAAAGGGAATGCTATGTGGGAAACGTTGTACGGTATGCTTCTAGCATATCCAATCGTTTGCTTTATTTTCGTACCGGTTTATTATGATCTTGGTATTACATCGGTTTATCAATACTTGGACATGAGGTAATTTCATCATTTTATTTAATAATTATTAATGATAAGCAAAAAAATAATACATTATTATTAATTATAAATTTGTTTCATATAATTTTAGGTTCAAATCTAAACTGGTCAGATACATTGCAAGTTTTTCTTACGTCATAAGAAGTTTGTTAAATTTATCTGTGACAGTTTTTACGCCATGTGTAGCGTTAAAAGCAGTCATTGGTTTACCATATTGGGCAAGCATAATCGGTATAGTCACAATATCGGTTATTTTCACGCTAATGGTACGTTTATATAGTAATAATTTTTTTTTTTTTTTTTTTTTTTAAACTTGTTGTTAACGATATTTTTGTTATTTTTGTGCGTGTAGGGAGGTTTAAAAGCTGCCATATTGTCGGACGTTATTCAAGGATTAATGATGATCGGTATATCGATAGTTTTAATAGTTCAAGGTACAATTGACGCGGGTGGTGTTAAAGAAGTCGTCAATGTTACCGTAGATCGTGGTCGTTGGGAATTTTACAAGTAAGTATTCTAATATTAACTTGTTAATAGATCATTTTGTCATAATTCATCTTTACCTTATACTATATATATATATAGACTTTTTTTACTATTATTATTATTATTATTTCTATTAGCTTCGACATGGACCCAACGATACGCGTGACAACTGTATCAGCAGTGCTTGGTCAGCTGTTCATGAGTCTATCTATTCTCGGATGTCAGCAAAATTTTGTTCAAAGATATTGCAGTATGAAAAGCAAGAACGAAGTTGTAAAGTAAGAATATTATTTTTATTATTATTTCTATTCAAACTATCCTAAACAAATATTACTATTTCGTAATCCGTAGACCCCTCCTCCTCCCACCGTCATATGAGAAATGTTGAAAACAAATTTAATGGGGGAAAAAAAAAAATATTAAAAATAGTATAACTATGTTATCATCATGCAACAATAATACTCGTAATTTAATGAACTCGCGTATCGATAAATTTCAAAATGAATATATTAACGTGTATAAATTGCAAAACTTCAAATCGTATATGTTCATTCTAGAGAAAAAATGTAAAGTATTAATTATTATAATAATAACCGTATAATTGACTATTGTTTATGACAATCTTATGCTTCCGTAAGTAATATCCGGTAAGAAGTTAAATCACCAAATTAAAACGGGGAATTTACGATTGATGAAATAAATAAATAAAAAAAAAAAAAAAAACAGAAGTAAAATAATAATCGATAGTTTTTTTTTAATAATAATTTCGTACTAGTGTGAGTATTCTCGATACGCGTTTATTATCTCGTGTCATTCATTTAGAAAATTACGACAACGATAACAATAAACGACTGACTAAATTGTCATTCCTCCTTGGCCTTGAATATTGTTGATCATGGTTGAAAAAAAAAAAAAAGAAACAAGTCACTTTTTTTTATCGTTTGCACTTCAAAACAATGTTAATAATTTTTTTTTTTTTTTTAATGTATATCACGTCATACATTTACGATACACGTCAAATAAATAACACAGGACAAAATAGGATTCCAATTATTATAAATATTATAAATTGCATATTTAATGGTATGCACTTAAAAAACGTAAAATGTTTTTTAACAGTATTTATCAGTAATATTCATTTTGAAATCTCTCAGTCGACACAAATGAATGCTTACGAAGACTTCCTACTGTTTGCTCGACAAGAACATCTGGAAGGGAAGTAATTAGATCCGATGTGGACGTGTTCACATGCTCGTTAATTACGCTCGCGAACATTCGAATCACGTGACAACGAGGAAGAGTTTAGTTAAAACAAAATCCCCCTTTGTACCGCGTCCCACCTACCTCTACTCTACCTACCTATCTCATAATTATTCTTTTTTATTTACTTTTTTTTTTTTCAACGATCTATCCTTATAGTTTTAACCAAAATGTTTCTAATCCTATTTTATAAAAAGAAAATGTCTTGTTTAAAAAGTTATATGGTACTTTATGTTAATCTAAAATAATATTACAATGAAGGACATTGTTATCATAAAAACACGTGGTCTTATCGTTGATAATAAAATGACAAAAGGAATAAGAAAACATAATAATAATAATAATAATAATACGTTTTTTTTTTTAAACATTATTATTAGTTTCAGTTGCTATCGTTAGAGGAAAAAATTTCGTGATAAATTTCTTTACTGTATACTCTTTTTTTCCCACGTACTTAACAAGACAATATGCTCGTTTAAAAGTGCAATGAAAAGCAAAAAAAAAAAAAAAATAAATAGAAAATGCACGAATAAAAACGATGTTATTTTATAAATATACTTTTACCAGGAACACTTTGAGGAATGACGGTATTCGTGAAAAAAAAAAGAAAAAAGAAAAAGGAAAAAGATAAAACGGGGAAATATTTAAATTCTAAGAGAAACGTTGTACTTTTGCACACGGGGGCGTCGAAATAATTCGTAAATTATCTTTCGTTATAACGAAACACATCCGCCAAGCCAAGCCAAGCGGCTTCTTCTCGTTGTTAGGTACTATTTCTCTTCACTCCCTTGAGAATGAAAATAATTTCATTCTCGACGGACGCAAAAGTTTCCTAACTCGTCCTCGATTCTACTTCGTCGTGTATAACACGGCAACACCAAAAGATAACAACGACGACACAACTACGACGAGACTATGATAACCCTAGTTTAAATAATATAAACGATAATAAAATAAAAAAAATAAAAAAAAGAGAGATAGACACGAAGAAAGAATGAATGTGCATGTGTGTATGTGCACATGATTGTTTGAAAGAAAAGTAACATGTAACTTGGGATTCAATTTGTATTTTTAATAATAAATGTGTAAACCACACCGACCACCAACAGGCGCACGCTATGTTTGTCTCTATTAAAAATTACTGGAAAATGTGACAAATTTTTTTTTTTTTTGCAAAGAAAAAAGTAACTCGCTAACGAATGTAAAAAAAAAAAAAAAAAAAAATAGAAAACCATAACGTAGCCTAGGAGTTTTTTCAAAATATTATTTTCGAAATCTATACTAAATCGTAACGATGCAATTTCGGTATTGGTTTAAAATGAAAAAAAAAAAAAAGAAATTATTATTTTCAATTCATCTATCTGTTTTTCAACAACAACAACAACAAAATATTAAATTGATCTAATAATCGTTATCGTATTCGACAAATGTTAAAAAGAAATAAATTTTCCAATTATTTTTTGTACTAATTCAACGACATATTAGATAACAGAATAATAATTATAAATATAATTTACATAAGTAACGTGTGACAATCATCCTGCAGGTAGTCATTTATGATAATGAATCGTTGTCGTTTACGTTACGGGACGAAAATAAATGTAGGGTTTTCGAAAACAAAGTTTTTCGTAAAATGTTCGATGCAAAACGCGATGAGGAAACGGGCGAATGGAGAAAAAATTCCATAACGTTGAAGTACATCGATTGTACAACAAACCGGACATTATCAACGTCGTAAAATCACGCCGATTAAGATAGGCTGGTGTCACGTGGCGCGCATGAGGGAGGATCGAATGGCGCACAAAATATTGGTCGATATACCAAACGGAAAAGGACCATTAGGTAGACCGATACGTAGATGGGGGGATAATATTAGAAGGGACCTGAAAGAAATAGGATACGAAGACCGAAAATGGAAGGATCGCGCTGAGGGACGGGAACAATGGCCCGTTTTGGTATTTGCGGCAATGAACATTCGAGTTCCTAATGCCAGTTAATAATAATAATAATAATAATAAGTAATGTGTACGTTAAGTAATTTATTTAGCTTGCAGTACAATGTTTATAATAGAGTCTAATTTTAAATGGTAAATAATAATTATTACTGATAGTAAGAAAACAAAAAAAAAATTGATATTTAATCAAAAAATCAGATTTAACACATAAAATTAAAAAACCAAAATCAAAAAGAATAAAATCAGTAAAATTTATCGTTTGTAACTGAGTAAAGATCGTATTTTTCGTATTTGAGGAAAATCGTTTTCTCTTACGACATAATCAATGAAGCCTTTTCGTCGAGGTAAATGGGCAGAAAGCCAAAAGTTTTAGTATGAGAGATACTCGACGTCCAATAAGGTCAATAATATCAATTCAACATCCGGCCGACATACGTTTTCTTACCCATGAAAATCCAAACTACTACTGCGGTATAAATCTTCCTTCTTACTTGGAATTATTTGTTTGGAAAGAATAAATACGCGAAACTTGGCTCCCCAATCAAGCTTACCAGAGAAGTAAGATAATCCTAAGGAAGTAAAATCGAATATAATCCCAACTACCTAATTCCTTCTCTTTTACTGACTTGAAAATTTAGTTCTTTACTTTTATCTTCTTCTACCTCGAGATTCTCTCTTTTGTGTAACCCTTATCATTCTAAGCAAAAATAATTGACCCGAAATATTTGTACATTCGTAAACTTTGAATTTAACTATGTTGTTTTATTTGACTTTTTCAGAACTATGATGGCAAACGTACCAACCATTGCCGTTCTATTCTCATTATCTTGGGTAGTGGGAATGGTGATCTTCGCCAACTACGCCGATTGCGATCCTCTGAGCATGGGTTACATCTCGAAATTCGACGAGATAGTACCGTTCTTCGTTCAAGACAAATTCCTCAACATGCCAGGTTTATTAGGTCTGGTAATGGCTACTTTGTTCAACAGTGCACTAACATTAGCCGTATCCAACCTAAATTCTCTGGCAACAGTGACGTTCGAGGACTTTCTAAGTCAAATTCCGGCATTGAGTAATCTCAAGGATACCATGCAATTACGAACGATCAAGATATTATCCGTGTTCTACGGTTTGTTAATAATCGGTTTAAGTTTCGTCGTAGCTATGTTATCCGGTGTTATAGAATCTTCAATGTTAATGACATCCGCAACATCCGGACCACTTTTAGGAGTTTTTATATTAGCAATGTTAGTACCGTGTGCCAATTGGAAAGGTGCATCAGCTGGAATGATATTCAGTCATGTTATGACACTATGGTTGACCTTTGGACATTTAACTGTTCAAACGAAAGACGATGTGTTACCTTTGTCAACTGATGGATGTAAAAACGATACTTTTTCACCGTGGATCACGAAACCTGGCAACGTGTTATATTCCGTGTCAAATGTTTCAACCATTGTCAACGATTGGGATAATACAACGTCGAGTATTTTAAAAGAAGAAACCTCCGACAATACATTAATATTTATCTACGCTATTACTTATATGTATTACGCCCTGATCGGCAGTTTATCGACGGTTATAGTTGGAATAATAGTCAGTTTATTCACGGCTAATGCCAAGGAAGATGCTTACGAGTTATACTTGTTACATCCGTTAGCCTACAAATTGTCAACACTATTCCCAGGAAAAAAAAGACTTTACGCAAGTAGCACGCGTCTCGACAATGGTAACAATCCAACGAACGCAACTACATCATCCTCAATAACCTCGATTTCTAATGGAAATGAAAAGACCACCAATATGCTTCAAGGTACCTTAGACAATAACGGTAAACATCACTTCGACAATGGTTACATTCAAAAATTAAACTCTTTGAAAGGTGCTACGTTGGAAGTTACTAATGAAATGTCTAAGGGTACGAGATTATGAAAAATTGTTTACCTTTCCTTTTTTTAAAACGACTAGTCTATTTTATAAAAATTACGATTAATACAAATAGTGTTTCATGATATTGTGCTTCGTACGAGGATACTGCCAGGCTGTGATGAAATCAAATTGATTTATTTTGAAGGATATAAAAAACAAACTAAAAAAATACTTCGATCGAATTATTCTAACTCGGTGAGATGAATACTTGTTAATAGATCCAATACATATATAGATATATATATATATATATATATATATATATATATATACACGTGCCATAAAACTACGTTAGGACACGGTTGTTCAAAAAAAAAAAAGTTAAAACTTCTACAATATCGATCGGATATTTGTCGGGAACGTTTTTTTTTTTTTTCATATAAAATATCACTACTTATTCTTAAACACCGATAACGAACGAATTTCGAGTCTCGATTTAATAATAATTCATCATAAACGTTCTAACTTCGGTATCAGACTGACGATCCGGTCAATGAGATCGGTGATATTTACACACTTATGTTGTTTTCATTTACTTTTTGTTTTTTTTTTCCTTCCCTCTTCTTCTTCTTCTACTTATTTTCTACTTACTCTTAATTTTGTTTTATTTTTTTTGTTTTTTTTAATCACGAATAAACACGCGAATTTTCCAAAAAACTAAAACGTTCGGAAAGGATTTAAGATGATTACGATTACGTCTAGACAAGAAATATACTCATTTAATTAATCTAACGAATATTTCGAGTTTAGATTTTGTTTTGTTCTTTTTATTTTTTTTTTTGCTATTTTTCTCTATTTTCCTATCATTCATACTTGATCATGTTTGATGTGTTTCAATATATTTTCTTTTTTTAAATAAAAGAAAAAAAACAGTATAGTGTATGAGATCACAAGCTTAATTAATAATACGTATTAGATTAAGTTTATCAATTGAATATTAGTCATGAACGAAATGAATATTGTGTATGCATGCTAGATTTATGCACAAATATCATTGTATGCATTTTTTGGTTTTTTTTTCCTTTCTTTTTTGTAAATATATAAATATGTATATTTTAGCATAAGTTACGATCGAAGAATGAATGATAATACGAATTTCACAATGCCATAAATGTTTCTATGACTTGTACGTTGCCAATGAGCATATTTTTACTTAATACAATATATATATATGTACTTCATAAATTAAACAAATGTACGTAAATAATTATTTAGTAATTAAAAAAAAAAAAAAAGAAACAAAACAAATTCTATAGAAAATTTATTAATAACGATTGAGAGTGAATTTTTAAGACGATTATGTATAAACGTAGATTACTTTTTGAATAAGTCATTATTTTCCTCCTATGTATATATACATATATAAACATAAATCTTGAAAATAAATTGAAAAGAAAAAAAAGTATATAAAAAAAAGGAAAAAAAAAAAAGAAAATGTCAAACTTAACCAATAATAATAAATTTGATATATAATCCCATTAAGCTTCGTTTTACGTATAACCCATAATATTTAATTAATATAATTAATTACCATAACATAAAGTTATTCTATAAAATATCACATATTTACCGGTATGGTTAATATTTTTCTCGAAAAGAAACCATTTATTTCCTTCGACCCTAAATTGACGAATACCATCAAACAAATATCATGCTGTTTGTTGATAACTTCAAGTCTAACTCAGTCGATAAAGTAACTCGCGATCGGATAAATTTGCTCAACGGATATTATAACGGATATAAATAAATATATAAATTTAATTTATTATTAAATTATTTATTATATATAAATAACGTACGTATAATCAAATTGGATGTTTCACCTTTGTTGTCAGAAAATATTCTTCTCGTTTCAAAGCAATACAAATAATATAACAAAAGCTTCGCAATATCCCAAACCGTAATTTTGAGCAACACGTTGGTAGCACTGTTATACTATGGTATATATGTAGTATGACGCGGTTGATTATCGATTGGGTCGACAAAGGCAGATTAAAACCTTCTGTTTTTGACTCTGAAACCGAGTACCGAAACAAAGACCCCCCCTTCTCCTCTCCTCTCCTCTCCCTCACCCCACAACCCCCAGAGGGTTTCACCATTTTCCCTTCATTTTCTCATTTTCTCATTTTCTCATTTTGCCAATAGCAAATAAATCAATTGAAAAAGAAAAAAAAAAAAAAGAAAAAATTACTCCCGAAAAAGAAAGATAGAACGATAATGTCTGAACATAGCCGATTACAAATAACAAAAGAATAAGAAACTAAATTAAATGTAAATTTTGTTCAAACTGAAAACAACAATAAATAAAAATAATTTCAGACTCATAATAAATTAATTAATATTTGATTCTCGTTCTAATTTGAAATATAAAAAAGATATCATGTGTGCAGATCACACGTGTTAGAAGTGAAACCTTCAAAAAATAAAGTTTCGAGAGAATGAGACAAATGCACAGCATCAAGACTAAGATAATTTAGGATTTATTGTTACTGTATGTATCAATACAAGGCTCAATCCTACATGTTTGTTTCTTTTTCTCTTCTTACTTAGTATCGTGGCCGTTTCATCGGCATGTTTCATTTTTTCAAATCACCCCCCTCCCCATTTTTAAGAAGTTTTCACTTCAAAAATATTCGGGATTACTTCAGGTGGTAAAGTTGAAAGCTATAATCTTGAAGAAATGGAAGGAAACTATGAGAGAACGCGTGGAATCTGTAAAGCCGACGAAGGAAGACGAAGATGACGATAAAGTCCCATCGTAGCCATCTCTGTTGATGTTACAGTAGTAGTAGTAGTAGTAGTAGTAGTAGTACCACAGTGGCAATGGCAGTAGCAGCAGCGGTGGTAGAGCGTCAGAAAGAAGTTTAGTTGCTGCTGTGTAATTCGTGAAATGCATTGTGAATAAGTTACGGTTTTAGTTATTGTTAAAAGTTAATCTGTGCTGTACTGTGCTGTGTTACGTTAACACGTTCACATCGTGTTTCAGATTATTATTAGTTTTTCCTTTTATTTCTAAATTGTGTTTCAAATTAAACAACGTTAAACGTCACTTATTTCTTTCTTTATTCTCCACAGTCTAAAAGTTATTCAAGTATATAACTTATCTCACTTGATAATAAAACCCCACCATTCCATCCAAACGAACTCCCTCTATCGGAATTTCGAGTCGACCAAAAAAAAAAAAAAAAGACAAAATAACTAATTTGCAATTAGTCTTGAAGTTATTATCTATCAATTTTTCTTTCTTATCGATTCGTTCCCCCTCTCCTCGTTTCTCATTTGTTGATTATATTCAGCCTTTATTTTTCCCCGTTTTTTTTTTTTTCTTATTCAGACAGGTGTCACAATTAAACGAATAACTACTACTACTACTAATCGTGATTAAGTTCCTAATAAGTCTTCAATATTATCGATACGTACCGAAGATTGATTTTAAATCAAACACGATTCAACGAATTCTATTATTTCGTTGTGAAAAACAAGTTTATATCTCATCATGGCAGTAGAATCAAGGTGAGTTTTCTTTCACGTATTTTCTTCTTTTTTTTTTTTCCTATTAATATACGTTGTGTGTATCTCTCTACTACTTCTTGTTTGGATCGTATTAAACTAGTCTCAATCGAGACACCTCTCTCATACTACTACTACTACTACTACTATTATTACTTTTACGTGCATGCGCAAAAGAGAGAAGAACGTTGTGTGCATACTCCGAAGACTTGCGCACCGGTTCGATGCTCTCCCTTCAGAGTCCAGTTCGTTTTTTTTGTCCCTTTTTCTCCTTCCCTTCTTAGTTTTTATTTTTCACAGACGTGTTTATACGTCCCTACCCAAGCAGCTGTCAAGACACATTCCTTTTTAGTTATAAACCAAACCTTTTCTACACCTTTCTATCTTACCATACCAATATTAATTAACTTATACAATTTTTGGTTTATTTAATTTCTATTAGAATAAATGTCTTTGGTTTGATTTCTTTTTTTGTTTAAATAAAGAATTTAAATAAAGAATATTTTTTTTTTATGATAGAAATGTTTGTTCTTGTATCTTTAGAAAATAATCGATTATGAACATTTGCAATAAGTCACGTATATTTTACATTTTTGTGTTATCATCGTTTGATACTGATATAATTTTTAAAAGCAATAAACACGACTCATGATAAGTAATAATAGTATCGCATTGCTGCGAGACAATCGTTTAATATTCCTAGAATTATATGTTCATTCGTTTCATTATTCATTCTCGTGAAGATTTACTTCGATTTCGTTGTTAGCATTTGCGAGAATACTTTCATCTCTTTCGCACTCCTTAATTTAATTATTTTTCTATAGTATCTGTATTAATTAAATTTGTTCAAAATTTATTTCAATTTAATTCGATGATTTTTTTTTTTTTGAAATGATCGAAATATCCAATGAATTAATCGATCTTTATATTTTTGTACAATAATTTTCTTAAATTATAATTGAATAAATTTCGATAAAATATTACACTCAAGTAAATATTAAATTCATTTTGATGGATTTCCAGAAATATATTATTGTAATATTATTCAAAAATTAGTATTCTAGTAGCAACATTTTTTTTCTTTAATAATTCATTCTACCACCGTTTCTTATTATTCATCGTCACGACGTTATAATTTAACTTAGCATTAATTATGGACAGTATAATTTAGCAATAATCTTATTTTTATCACTGGACATTTTCCTTTTTTTTTTTTTTAGATTTTTCCTTTACCATTCTCTTTCTCTTTTTTCTCTTTCTCTTTTTCTATTTCTCTCCATCGTGAAAAATAAAGCGTTGCAGGTGAATGCATAATTAAAATCTATGTGAGAGTATATGATCACTGAAATGTATATAGTACGTATTACATTATTCACAATATACCCTTTGGTACGCGATACCGAATGTACCGAAAAATTGATATTTTCATTTTACATTAGACAGAAATATTTGAAACCTCTTACACTCTCTTACACCTATCTCATCTTCCAAACATAATTTTCAATCTATTTGTTCATCATTATTAATTGATTCAAATCTACCACAAATATTATATTACACTGCATAAAATAAATTATTTCATTATTTTCTTTTACTTACACGATGAGAAAACAAATATATATATATAACAATATTAGATAAAATAATAGTAATCATATCAATTAAAAAAACCAAACGTCGTTTGTAACAAACAATTTCAAACCATTTGAAAAAAAAAAAAAACAACTACGAACATTTAAAAAAAAAAATATTACACAATTTTAGATTTATAATAAATATACATCTATAATGTTATTAATAAAAAAAAAACTACGATTAAAAAGAACATTTCATAATTAAATCATTCCAAATGAGATATATAACCTTCATAATAAGTATATGTATAACGATCTATCCTGTTGTTATTATTTGATAAGCTAACCGAAAATCTTCCGAATATTCTCAAACCGGAAATCAGAGAGAGAGAGAGAGAGAGAGAGGTCCTTGTTTTAAATGTATTTAAAATAATCTAAAAATTTCGAGAAGAATTGACATAAGTAATTAAGACCATTGGTGGGTTAAATGTATATATATAAGCACGATGAAAAGGGTAGCAGTAGACCTTTTTGTTTCGGTGTGCGACTAGTTTACATTTGTTCTATTATATTAAATACTTCTTCTTAAATCAAATTCTTTAAAAGTATCTTCGACATTTTTTTCTTAACACTTATAACAAGACAAAAAGAGAAAAAAAATACATAAACATCAGACTAAAATAATATTTTGTGTATGCTGTCCTCTTTAAAATCTTATCAGTTAGAAAAGTTGGCATCGTTAAAGTGAGATAGACACATTGTAGTCACGTTCCACTTTACAAACTCAATACCTGACTCTCTCTTTTTTTTTCTATCTCTCTCTCTCTCATATAAACACACATGCATAAACACATATACATTTATTTACTATAGTGAAGTATCCAAGAAGATACTTCGAGGAGTGCTTTTCTGTTTTAACATATCTTCAAACACGTTTTAAATATATATATATATATATATATAATACTATAATATAATATTTTAATCTAATATTAGATAAAGGGATTAGAGATAACATTTAGACACTATCACAGCTTTTATAAAATAAAACATAGTCAATTTCTTATCGATTGAAAATTTACATTGGTTATAATAGTAATATCTATAAAACCGTGCTTAAATTT